TTTTTTTTTTTGAGACAAAGTCTCGCTCTGTCACCCAGGCTGAAGTGCAGTGGCTTCACTCGGCTCACTGCAACCACTGCCTCTTTAGTTCAAGCTTCCTGCCTCAGCCTCCCATGTAGCTGGGGTTACAGGGCCCCACCACAACACCCAACTAATTTCTGTATTTAGAGATGAGGTTTTGCCATGTTGGCCAGGCTGACCTCAAGTGATCCACCCACCTCCGCCTCCCAAAGTGTTGGGATTACAGGCATGAGCCACTGTGCCGTCGTTTTTCCCAGTTTACTTTTGTCTTTTATTCATGGCGTTTTTTCCAATGGAAGTTCTTCATTTTTATGTAGCTAGCTTTTTCATTTATAGTTTTTTCTACATAGCGTTGATGACAGTCTATTGTGGGATTCATTTATAGTTTCCATGCTAATAGACTTTAAAAATTGACTTTTCCTGGGACAGTTTTACAAATACTTCAAATAATATGACATAGAAAGTAATTTCTCCTTGCCTGGAAGTGGGGCTGAGACTGCAGTGCTAGGGCTGCTGTGGAACCAAGGCCAGTGACAAAGCGACACTGTCGCTTCTAGGCGGCTGTATTAAAATGCATCCCCCTCCCCCAGCAACCAGGATTTCAGCCCAGCCCTGTCAACTTGAAAACCCAAGTTCCTAACCCTGACTTTGTTTCACTCTGCTGGGGTAAAACCTGCTAACTGCTGAGGCTGTCATTTGCTGAGATGAGGTCAAGGAAGGGGGCAGCAGTGGCTGGGAGTCTCACCAGTGATTGGATAAACACAGCCAAGTGCTTCACCTCCCTGCACTGCAATCTCACAGCTGTAAAATAGGTATCAGTGATGACACCAGCCTGGAAGTGCAGGTAGCACCATTAGATGAGTCTGTGGGGAGGAAAGCACTTTGTAAACTAGTTACGTTGTACATGTTGGAAGGATGGGCTGAATGACGAGAAACCCAGATGGTCAGGGATCAATGTGGCTTCTTTCATGATAGAAAATAATCTCAGCTAACAGGTTATAGGACTAACATTAAAGAAACTATGTGTCAGTAGAATGGCTGGCACTAGACCCAGACATGTGCCTCCCTCCTTCAAAACAAAGCTGTGCGCCTGAGAACTGTGACTATCAGCCTTGATACCCTCCTCAACCAAGACTTTGCTTTTCTCCAGGCCCCCATTGCTGTGCGGCTGGGCAAAGTAGCCATTGACCGAGGAATGGAGGTGAGAGGGTTTCAGGTTGGGATTTGGGTCCACTAGTGTTGGTCATGGCCGGGACGTTTTCAGAACTCAGACAGCACAGCTGGAAAGACCTCAGGAAGGGGACTCTTCTAACAGACTTTGACCTCGCTCTCTACCTCAGTTTACCCATCTGCAAATTGGGTAGATGGAAGTTTGGCCAGATATTACTGTTTACGTTGTATCCTCATCTTTCTCCCCCTGGAAAGAGAGGAGGAGGAGACTGAGGTTCAGAAGGGGTAAATGACTTCCCAAAGGTCTCAAAGGAAGTGAGTAGAAAGACCTGGGTCTGTGTGGCTCCCAGTCCGTGCTGTGAGGTTTGTGCTGGCAGTCAGTAATGTGGCCTCAGGGCAGGGCTTGGGGTGATGCCTTGAGTGTGGCTAATCCATCTGTACACCTCACCTCACCCATCCACTCATCACACACTGAATCTAGACCAAAGCTGGGAACTGGAATACAGAGATGAGTTCAACATGGTCACTGTCCCTAAGATGGGAAGGGGAAGATACAGACACAAATTAAGCTTAATGGTACCACACTGACACCCCAGAGACATTAGAGCTGTGTGGTCCATTATGATAGCCATGTGTGGCTTTTAAATTAAAGAAATTGTTCTCTCCTTCACACTAATCACACTTCAAGTGCTTGACAGTCACATGTGGCTAGTGGCTACCATACTGGGCAGTGCTGGGTTAAAGAATGTTTTCTGGCCGGGCGCGGTGGCTCAAGCCGGTAATCCCAGCACTTTGGGAGGCCGAGGTGGGTGGATCACGAGGTCAAGAGATCAAGACCATCCTGGTCAACATGGTGAAACCCTGTCTCTACTAAAACTACAAAACATTAGCTAGGCATGGTGGCGTGTGCCTGTAATCCCAGCTACTCAGGAGGCTGAGGCAGGAGAATTGCCTGAACCCAGGAGGCGGAGGTTG